CCCAATTCCAGTAGCCCAATAAACATTAAACGTGAGCCCAAAACACTAAATCATATATATCCATATAATGGAGCCCAAATACCAAATCCAAAATCAGTAACCCAATTAATGACCCGGTCCATATCTACCACAATTGCCCTTTTCTAACAATTCAAAGCTGGCCCAACAAATTAAGCCCAAAAAACAACCTGTGATAAGCCACCACCCAAACCAATCACACAACCCATAAACTGGCCCAAGTACTTGAATCCAAATAAACACAACCAAAAAGGAGTAACCCAAATCAATTGTTCAGAACAGCCTAATTCCAACAAATTATCTTTATCAGCGTCCTTACTGTAACCTTTACCTGCACATCGGGGCTTCGTCTTCACTCTCCTCCACCACCGCCGGCAAAACGTAGCAGGAAGCAAAAACATAACCACAGCCAAAAGAAAAACGATTGAAACTTTTCCATCAGGACATCGAACTCGGCAAACTAGTTAAAGCTGCCCCAAAAATGTACAGTATCGCAACTGCAGATAGCACCCAGAAAAAATTGAACTGGATGCACAAAGGGCGAGAATCCGGCGACTAAACTCCGAGCAAGACCGGACGGCGACTGCAACTCCTGAAACGGGGCGACTGAAATGGTTTTCCTTGGATTTCCAAACGAAATTATTATTATTATTATTTTAAACAGCCCATAAATTATGCCCCAAAATACTGCAGACGACCAGAGACACAGAATACCAAGAAACGCAGACTCACCATGCGAAAGTCTGAACAGAAGGCCACAAAATATACCCAGATGACCGAAGGCAGAACACACCTGAAATTCAAGAGATAGCACCCGATTCACTCGAGATTTTAGGCTGATTTCAATGCTTTGCATGTTGACTTTGGTGTAGCTGCCTGCTGGGATTTGATTTTCATGGAAGCCACATGAAATTTCTGGAAGGGAAACTGCTTTTGGTACTAATTTATTGATTGGGGACCTGGAGGGTTGGGGTCGACTGCGGAAGATTGACCCACCAAAAATGCTGTTCACAATCTGTGAGAGGCTGGAATTGTTTATTGCAGAATTTATGGATCTCTGTATATGAAGTTCCGGAGCAAAGGAGGCGGACTGGAGAGTGGATGCATGCGGGACAGTTAGGGTTTCCAATACACCAGCCATGGCGGAAAAATCAGTGAAAATTGATGAAAGCGGACCTGATGCCTGCCTACAAATAGCTGAGGTTATTAATTAGCATGAAAGACCTGATGACTTTCTGCAGGGAACAAAAAATGGGGCCAATTGAAGGCTTGAACGACCATTGGTGCTGAAGGCCATATGATTCTTTGAGATAAAAAA